CATTAGTAATGATTAATTTTCAGCCCTTACCTCGGAATCTCTTTATTTCTTTACCAATTTATAGTGGAACACATGCTGATCAATGTGACCCTACTTTAAAAGAATTATGAATCTTAGTTAATGGCAAAGATTGGATAGTTTATTCATGAATGAAGCTAGTTAATCTTGTAGCCAAGTCATTCATTTAAAAGAAGTAATAAAAAATTGTCAGTGGACCCATTAATTGCAAAAAGCTCATTCATTAATTCAAAAATTCAGTTAATTGCAGACAGGAGTAGTCAGATAAGTTGTAAGATACAAAATCCATTCTTGGTCAAGTGATGTTCAACTCCATATATCTTAGATGTTATTTTTGTTTTTATGCTTTCCAGTTTTATTAGGACATAGTGGTATACATCACTATATAAATTTTAGGCACTTGCATGATTGCTTGATTTACATGTATTATGAAATGATTACCACAATAGGATCAGCTAACATCTATAATTGCTTGTACCTTTTGATCACCTTCTTCCAATTCCCCATCCTTCCATCTATAGATGTTTTTAATATAAGTGATTATTTGCTAAGAGAATAAACAGCAGCAGAATAATAAAATAGTTTATGTAATAAAGTAAACATTTCAAGCAAATCACTTGAGAAATAATAAAAGCCTTTATTATATTCTGTTATTATAAACAAAAAGTACATAGTTTTCTTGTAGCATGAAATTATGTAAGTGGTCTATGTAATATTAATGCGATGTGATCCCACGCTCAGAGATAGGATTCATTTTTTATTAATAATGTATCCACTTTTTGAAATAGAGTACTTATGTCATCCACCCAACGATTTGGTGTTATAAACAACCAAGCAGTAACTAGAATCCTAGGAAAGTAAATTAAACTGAGGTATGTTGTTGACCTAATTTATTCAGAATCAAATTATCTAAGTGAAGCCTTTGGCTGGAAAGAGAGGAGATGGAATGGAAGCCAAGAGCTAAGTGTGCGTTGGGTTGACTTTTGTTGCTAGTGATGTTCTGTGAACACCTTCCTGTTTTGTAGTGTGGTTCTTTCCTTTTTAATTTCCTTAATGCTTTAAAAGTTTTAAGGGAAATGTAGAAGAAGTCATAGGTTTGGACTCAAGTACTTGTCCCATATGATTATATCTAAGACACAATCCTCTGAAAATAATACTTATTTTTTATTTTATTTTTTATATTGATCCTCACCCGAAGAATGAAGATTTTTTTCTTATTGGTTTTTTAGAGAGAGTGGGAGGGAGGAAGAGAGAGAGAGAGAGAGAGAGAGAGAGAGAGAGAGATGTGAGAGAGACACATCGCTTGGTTGCCTCCTGCTTGAACCCCGAATAGGGCTGGGGATTGAACCTGCAACCGAAGTACATGCCCTTGACCGGGGAATCGAACCCATGACCCTTCAGTCCGTGGGCCAATACTCTAACGACTTAGCCAAACCGGCCAGGACTGACAAAATACTTAATAAAATAAAGACAAAAAAGAGCTGCTCTTCAAGTCAGTGACTCTCGGGTGCTTCTCTGTCAGTTCATCCGGAAGCTTGTGGGGCAGTTAGCCACCGTGATGACTGTTCCCCAGCCAGAGATAGGGCTTCCTAAAGTGGGAAGGGGGTTGCATTAAAATCCGGGGTGGGGAATGTCTGAACCACAGGCCGAATACGGCCCATAAAATCATTGGTCTGGCCCTGCCAAGGCATTAGGGGTGAGTTAATTGAATATTTGATCAAATATAGCGGGCTAATTTTTAAGTTGATAATTTTGTATGGCCTGTGAATGATGTTATCATTATCCAAATAGCCCTTGGCAGAAAAAAGGGTCCCCACCCCTGCAGTAAAGGAATGAAAGCTCTCTCCATGAGCCTAGAACGTAGACTAAGGACCTGTACAAAACCCTGATGTCTAAATCCTTTCATTCCTACATATACAATCATTTTTGACCATGTATCAAGTGAATTTGTTCTGAACTTTCAGATGTAAGGAATGACACCCTTTTATTATTGTTACTTTTATATCAAATTAATTCAAGCTCTGAGCTCCCACTGGACGTCAGGAGGTGAGACATTTAATTTCAGTAGTTTTCAGTGTACTCCTTTCTGGGGCTATACAGCAGTGATTCCCAAAGTGGACGCTACCGCCCCCTGGTGGGCGCTGCAGCGATCCAGGGGGGCGGTGATGGCCACAGGTGCATTTGTTTTAACTTTTTTTGTATTACCTTTCTATTCTGAGTTCAATAAATAGTTTCATAATTTCAAACTTCAATGTTTCTAATTTACACCTTTCTTTACTATATTTTACGAAAAAGGTAGAAACATTAATACATATATCTTTCTGTTTAATTGCTATTAAAATTTTTAAAAAATTAATTTCCAGGGGGCGCTGAGTAATATTTTTTCTGGAAAGGGGGCGGTAGGCCAAATAAGTTTGGGAACCACTGCTATACAGGAATCCAAGGCATCACGTGAACCGAGAAAGTAGGGAAGAGCCTCCACCCTGCTGTGCTCACAGCTGACACTCTTACAGTCCGAGGGCTCCATCTGAAGTCAGGTGGCTCTGTCTCCTTCCAATGGTCATGGGCAAGGGCCACAGGAGCCACCAGTATTGATGTTCAAGTCGCCCAACAGCCACACACCATCCTATCGGGGCCCTGCTCAGAGTGGAGGCATATCCTGTCATTCTCACCACCCACCGTTACTGGACTGGCCCCTCCTCAGGCTCCTGGCAGTGGGCCAGCCTTCTCTCTCTCAAGTGGACTAATAGATGTCAGTTCCCCAGCTCTGGCTTCCATCCCTTCTCGACCCCCAACCCCGTACCAGGAGGATTCCTCCCTGAAGTTTACATCCTCCCCGAAGGCTAGGGGAGTCGTGTTGGGGGATTGAGAGATAGTTGACAGGGTCATGAGTGACACATTAGGAAGTCAGACTTTGAGAAATGGGATATGGGTCTTTCTTTCCTAGAATGGGGATAGGGAAATAAATGCTTTCTTTCCATCCCAGTTGGTCTATAATAGCGAGCAAACACCAAAAATACTAAACAGTGTTTTTCTTCATAATGCCCTATCACTCCTGCATGTAACTGCCATGATCAGGCAACAGGCTCATTCATCCAGTGCGGACTGAGTCCTGCATATGCATACAGTGTCCCAGGCTTTAGGGTGCAGCAGGAGCAAGGGAGACATAATATTTTGCCCTCACAGAGATTACAGTGTAGTGGGTATGTCAGGAAGTAAAGAACAAATAACTGTAAATTGTGATAAGCTCTGTGATAGGGCTAGCACAGGGAGGGGGATCCAAAAGGGACAGTATTTGAAGAAAGCCTCTGAGGGGGTGTGGTTAGCAGAGGCAGGAAGGCCAAGAAGGAGTTAGCCATATAGTCAGAAAGGTAATACAAAAAAAGTTAAAACAAATGCACCTGTGGCCATCACCGCCCCCCCTCCCCCCATCGCTGCAGCGCCCACCAGGGGGTGGTAGCGCCCACTTTGGGAATCACTGGTGTACTGAGTCCTGCATATGCATGCAGTGTCCCAGGCTTTGGGGTGCAGCAGGAGCAAGGGAGACATAATATTTTGCCCTCACAGAGATTACAGTGTAGTGGGTATGTCAGGAAGTAAAGAACAAATAACTGTAAATTGTGATAAGCTCTGTGATAGGGCTAGCACAGGGAGGGGGATCCAAAAGGGACAGTATTTGAAGAAAGCCTCTGAGGGGGTGTGGTTAGCAGAGGCAGGAAGGCCAAGAAGGAGTTAGCCATATAGTCACTGGGGAGTAACTTTCCAGGAAGTGGGCTCTGCAGGAGCAGCAAATCCTGGAGAGGGAAGGAGCTTGGCCATTGTAAGGAATGGAAAGTAGGTCCGTGTCATCCCCATGAGGAACAGGAAGGGAAATGTACCACGAGGAGGCAGGGATGGTAGGCTGGAGCCATCAGGATGTTGGAGACCATGGTGAGGAGGTTGAATTTCCTTCAACACCTGGAAGGTTTTAAGTAAGGGAATTCTGGAATTTGATCTATATTTTAAAGATCACTCTGTGTGTCGAGTGGAGAGTGGGTTAGAGGGGGCAGACATGCTCATAGTTATACATAGTTAATACATCTGTGTTGGAGATCTCAGTAGATTAAAAGGTACTCTTAGGTCATATGCTCCTAGCCTTACACGACTCCAGTTTGCTCTCCTCCTTCCAACCCAAGGTGGGTGTGGCCATGGTCTCCGTGGGCAGAGAAGGGAAGGAGCGGTTTCCGGGTTGATGGGAAAACATCACCCCTGCACCACTGTACTGACCTGTCTCTCCCCTCAGATGCTGCTTGGTGCTGATGGTAGGGTGGACCCTGCTGTTTTGCCCATCAGGATCAGAGATAAGAAGAGCTTGGCATTTTGCCAGCCCTTTCCAGTTATTCAGGCTGGATCCAGTTTCTGATATTTATGGAGTTCTTTTGGAATAATAGATAATAATTGTTGCCTTCCCTATTAAATCAAATCAACTAATATGTGTTTAAAGTCTCTTATATTTAAGTTACCATGTGAGCCCTTTCAAGATATCATGAAAAGTTATGATTTTATTCTTTGACCAAACTCTCCTTATATTAACTACAATTCCAAATATGAATTATGCATTTATGTTACAAATGTGTATAGAATGTTTATAAATTAATTCCCCATGAGAACCTTAAAATCCAAGTACTATTATTATATGCATTTTACAGAAAAGGAAACTGAGGCACAGAGAGGCTACATAAGTAAGTCATAACCAGGATTCAAACCATACCGTCTGTCTTCAACATCTGTGCCCTTAACTCCTATACTTTGTTAACCTCTCCATTTAAAAATTCTGTTAATGAGAAGAATGAACTCATTCTACGAGTTTCTTTCTTTTCTTTTCTTTTTTTAAACTATATTCTAAATTCACTCACTTGGCCTAATAGAGAAATGCTATAGCCCTACCATGTGGTATGGACATGAGTGTCAAATGCTGATGGTGACTTTCATTTGTTTCACAGGATCATTGGGACTTTGCAGAACTCCCCTGAGTTTGCAGAAGCCTTTCATTGCCCCAAGAATTCATACATGAATCCAGAAAAGAAATGCCGGGTGTGGTGATCTTCAAAAGAAGCAGTGCAGCCCTTGGCTAGACTCGCCAACACCACAGAAATGGACAACTCTATCCAAGAGACTGGGCCATAGAGCTCACTGTTATTATACACAGGGATACCTAACAGAGATGAGAGCATCGTGACAAAAATGAAGTTAGGTTTTTCTGGAAAAGGGTGGAGGGACGAGGGCGTCTATTGTCTATCAAATCAATCACTTCTCACTGTGTAAATAATGCTTAATCTCTAAAGATAGTATTACCGTTCACTTCTGTTTCTCGTATGATCTGCCAGTGTGATGTTGTCTCTTGAAGAGTGTTAACCATTATTAGAGAAGGATTTCTAATCCAAGGAAGAAAGAAAAAGTTGAAGAATACAATTGGCACCTAACACACATCAGTGACCCGGGAGTGAAAAACACATTGTCTAAGTACTTATTTGTATTTATATTTGCAACATTTATGCTCCTTCAAATCTCTTCCAAAGAATTCTTATACATATTGGGGCCTTGGGACTTATGTAGTTTTAAACTAACTTTTCCAGTCATCAGTTATGCATTCTGAGATCATTTTATTTTAAGTACTTAGGGCTAAAATGTCTAAAACTGTGTTTTGTTGTACCTGTTTTGACTGATAACGATATTCTTGAGGTTTCTTGCAATTTTCTAAGCAATTTCTTGTTCTCTCTCTCTCTCTCTCTCTCTCTCTCTCTCTCTCTCTCTGTCAAAACTTGGTCTTTTTAAGAAATTTGTAGCAGTGTATAAATAATTTTTATATTTAATTATTGACTACATTTATGACTAAGTAATTGTTATTATAGGTAATCATTGACTATTGAAGTTTCAGACCGAGATAAATAGTTATGAACCAAGATCTGTAAAGCGATGTACAGATGAACATTTGAGACTTTTTAAACTTATCAATCATATTGATGAAAAGCTTTAAGTACACACTTTGGCTTAAACATTGCCATTGGATGGTTCTCTAAAGATACATAAGACTTGTGGTTTACAAGCAGGATTTTCCAAATTCAACCTGTCCATTAGGTGGCTGGAATGAAAGGGCAAACCTGCATCTATGTAGCTCCACATCTCCTTATCCTTTCAGATTTGTTACCTGATGGAAATATTTTGATAATAAATTGAGATTGTGAATCCACTGCTCACTATGGTTGTTGTGGCCACCATTTAGCTCTGGAAGGTGCATTTTTGACTAGAGGGGCTTCAGTACCTCCGTCTCCAACAGACCTGCTTCTAAATTTCTAACTTGCTTAGAGTTCTGGGAGGGGATTGTTTAGTCTCTGATAGGAGCTCAATCTTTCTTGAGGCTTTAACATTCTTTTCCTATCCTGTTCATGACTTTAGTTTTTTTATTACTTGATTAATATTTTACAAAACGAGTACACTTCCAAAAATCTTTATTTTTCCTAACAAAACATGAAACTGAGAATTTCGGGTTTTTCCTGCTTATTGGTTTTTCCTGCTTCTGGAAAAGTGTTATTGAAATATAACTTAAATACAAACATTTCATAAAGCATTAGTGTGCAGCTCAGTGAACTTTCTCCAACTGAACACAGCCCTGTAAGTAAGCAAACATTACCAGCCACCAAGAAACCCCTTCTCCCAACCGTCACTTCACTCCTCCAAGGACAACTGCTGCCCTGACTCCTAATGTCACACATTAGATTTGCTGTTTTTGTCTCTTATGTAAATAGAATCAACCAGCATGTATTCTTTTGTGTCTGGCTTCTCTCACTCAGCATTACATTTGTGAGATTCACCTATATTTTTGCATTTGTTTGTGGATCCTTCATTCTCATTGCTGAATGATACTTTAGTGTGTGACTATACTACAGTTCATCCATGCATCTGAGAAGTTTCCAGTTGGGGCTATTGTGAACATGCTTACATATCACCATCTTTTAAAATATATATACATCGTTTTATTGATTTCAGAGAGGAAGGGAGAGAGGGACATCACTGATGAGAGAGAAATCTGGGGATCGAGCCCACAAGCATTAGGCCTGGGCAGAGGACCCCCAGCTCCCACCATCGCCGGCTCCGCCCCTACCCAGACCTAATACCTCTGGCCAAGGTGTTAGGCCTGGGCAGGAGACCCCAGCTCCCTATGATCGCCGACTCCACCCCTGTTCGCGATGGCTGGCTCCGCCCATGCCTAGACCTAAGGCCTCTGGCCAAGGCATTAGCCCTGGGCAGGGGACCCCTAGCTCCCCGCGATCTCCTGCTCTGCCCCTGCCTAGGCCTAATGCCTCTGACTGAGGCGTTAGGCCTGGGCAGGGGACCCCCAGCTGCCCACGATCGCTGACTCCGCCCCTGCTCCCCGCGATTGCCGGCTCCGCCCCTGCCCAGGCCTAATGCCTCTGGCCAAGGTACCGCCAGCTCGCTATGATTGCCGACTCAGCCCCTGCTCGCGATGGCTGGCTCTGCCCATGCCCAGGCTTAAAGCCTCTGACCGAGGCATTAGGCCTGGGCAGGGGACCTCCAGCTCCCCACGATGTTCTGCTCCGCCCCTGCCTAGGCCTAACGCCTCTGGCGGAAGCATTAGGCATGGACAGATGACCCCCAGCTCCCCCCATCGCTGACTCGCCCCTGCTCCCCGCGATTGCTGGCTCCACACCTGCCCAGGCCTAATGCCTCTGACCAAGGCATTAGGCCTGGGCAGAGGACCCCCAGCTCCCCAGGATCTCCTGCTCCACCTCTGGTGGAAGCATTAGGCATGGACAGGGGACCCCCAGCTCCCCCCATCGCTCACTCCGCCCTACTCCCAGCAATGGCTGGTTCCGCCCCTGCCCC